GCCGTCCGGGGCCAGCGCCCAGGCGCTTCCCTGGGGCTCTCCGTGCCCACCCACGGGCTGCTGGTGCCACGCTGCCCAGCCCCCGGCACTGCGTGTCCTGGGCGCCTCAGGGAGACTTGGGTCACATCTGCGGCTCATCAGTGAACACAGAGAGAACGCAGTTAAAAGTTTATAAACACTGCGCAGTACTTGACCAAGTCAAGCCATGTGGACAGCGCATGAGTAGATTGGAAAGAAGAGAAATAACAAATAGGCCAGTCAGGAGGAGAACTACTGGTCTGTGCTCCCCAGAGGTGAAGGGCCATCCCGAGGAGATGCCACTCCTGTCCCTTGGCTCACAGGAGCCATGGTGACCAGCTGCCACTCTGCTTGCTGGCAGAACCTTTCCATCCACAGGGCAGCTGGAGGACCAAGGGGTGCTTGGGTTAGGGAAGCTGCCCCCAAAATCTCTAAGCACTGATCATATTTTACATGTTTATGTGCATTGACAGAAAAGATCCACCCACTCCCAGGGCTGTATTCCAGACCTCTCAATCTGAAGCTCAGTTCTCTCCCATCACCTGCAGCCCACAGAACAGCTGAGATATGCAGGGAATGGCTGCCAGGCTTTGAACTCAGCTTATTTCTTCTGCAAAACCCTCAGTGCTGCTGGCCTTAGGAGTGCATTACTGGGGGTGCATAGTCCCAGAGGGGTGTGAAGTTCCCTGGCACAGGAGGTGCATGGTTCCAGAGCTTACCTCACCTATGGGATGAGCTTCCCAGGGAGGAGTAGGAGCTGCTGAGTGGGCACTGTCCTCACCCCCAGCCCTCAATGGCAAGAGGAGGTGTTTAGGCCAAGGCATGGCCCAAAAACTCCCCTGGCACAGGGCACAACGCAGGAAAGAGCCTGGCTGGGGAAAGTGCACTGGAGCAAGTTGTGAGTCTTTCAACTCTGTCCTGAGATCCTACTCTTTTTAACATGAGGGAAACATGGAGGAACCAAAGTGAAACCAAAGGTGTTGCACAGAAACAATTAGTGAGTTACTCCACCTAGAGAAATCACATTTTACATATTGTTCTTCACCTAAATTTTAATTTGAATACTGTATGCATTTTTAATCTGAATATTGTATATTGTAAATAGATTGTATTTATATTTATTTCCCACCCCAGGAAGTGGTCAGCACCAAGCCTGACAGAGTTCAAGAAGCATTTGGACAATACTCTCAGGCACATGGAGTGATTCTTGGGGTGTCTTGTGCAGGGCCAGGGGGTGCACTTGCTGATCCTGATGGGTGCCCTCCAACTCAACATACTCTGATTTAGTTTCTCCATTTTTGTGACAGTGTCTGCCAGTAGCAGCACCCAAACAACTCCTTGCAAACTCAGGCCCACATGTCACTGTAAGTTCACAGAAATGCTCAGCTCCCCACCACACCTCTACCAAAACAAACAAAAAATCCCCACCAAAAAAACCAACCCCAAACCCAAGAAACCAAACAACCCCTACAGAAATGCAGCTATGTCCAAAGGAGTTAGACAAGTTTTTTCACAACGGATGGCAGCAGTAAACGGAAATTGTCATTACCTAATGCAAAATCAACAAGAGGAAAAATATTGTTACTTGATGGAGCTAGTATAAATACTGTCTTAATTGGATATTCAAGTAATCACAAATATTTGGGACCCAAGGACTTTTTTCAGATGGGAAGATGGTGTTCAAGGCCTGAGGGTGGGGTTGCAAAACAACTGCACTCAGAAAGGATGTGATCATTCAATTCAATTCCCAGGCCTCCCCTGATGAGCTGCTCACCTCGCTGCCCTATCCACTCAGAAAGAGGAAGCAAACTAGCGTTTGTTATAAGGCATTTATTTTCATTATGTGTTGGAAAGGGACAATCCTCTCTTCAAAACAATTACAGGATAATGCCACAATACCTACTGCATATTGCTTTACTGTTGAAACCAAAACAATTGTCCAAAACAGATGCTTGGCAAACAAAAAGAAAATTAATATATTACCATTGAAATGAATGCTGTTAGATAAAAGCACCATCTCCATTGTCTGATCTGATCAGTCATGCAATTGAAGACGCCAAATAGCAAGTACTTTGGGTTTTACAGTAAGCCATGATCTTTTAAGGGCTGATATAATTCTATACAAATTTAAGTACAAAATGGGAATTATGTTTCAGAAGTCATAGTGAACCAGGCTGAAGCGACTCACAAGACACACTTGTTAACACTGTACAGCTGGATTTGAACACAGGTACCAATGAACTTGCCAAACTGAGCACACGCACACAATGGTCCCCGACATTCAGCCGTGCTTGGGTGGGGAGCAATGCTGGAGACTGAAGGACAATATCCAACACTATTCACACCCAGAGGGCCAATTCTCTCACAACTGTTGGGATCCCAAGGATTTGTTGTTACTCCATTTTAAGAACAACAGTGGTTTTAGTATGTGGTTGTCACAAGGGCATACACAAGCTGTATCAAATACTGAATCAGAAATAAATAATAAAAGATACACCTAACACATCTTTTATTTTTTAATATTTTTTTACAGCACTGACTTTACAAGAGGATAAACAACTCATTTTTAGGGGCTGCTAACATCTGAAACAAAGAAGTCACTATTTTATACTCAACATATTCTCAACACTTAATAACTTTATATATGTATATATGACTTTTCTCACAAAAAAAAAAGTTAAAATAATTTATATCTAAAACTACTGTGTAAAGAATGAAGGAGGAAATAAAATGTGGGTTTCTTTAAAAATGTTGGAGAGGAAGACCTGATTTTCATGAACTCCATTTGCTGTTTCAGCTATTTTTGGAGTTTCAAGAGATTTCCTGGCCATCAACAAAAGCTTCCCAACACATCAGGAGCCCTCTGCAAACTCATTACATTCTGGGTAAGGTCACCTGCAAATGAGTTTGTGTGGGCCACAGACATCTGCTATCATCAGCCCCAGTGGATTCAGGGTAAGAATCATGAAGAAAACATCACCCCAGATTGCTATTAAAACCACAGAGTGAAATTCTGGACAACTCGTATCATGATGTCCACAGGCCAGGATTTTACTCCCAAGCCCTACTCTCCTTCTGCATCACAGATAAAGGATGTTTTTCTCTCAATGGATTTTGTTATTTCCACAGGAAAGCTGCCTCAGAAGCATGATGAACCAGACCCCAAGAGCCACCTGCACACACAAGAGCAAAACCAATTTCTTTTGTGTGCTACAAATGCTACTGTGCTTGTGTTGCTGAGGAATCACTTCAACATCTCCATTTATGTCTGGATCCTCCCAAACTTCAACCATCTCAAGTAACTTTTGTGGCCATGTAAATGTGACAGAATCCATGAAGCCCATTCAGCTGAAAGCTCAAGTGTTGATGGCCTGGATCCATAGGGTGAACAATGAAAGGAAAGGTAGTAAAGATGTGGAAAGTACTTTTCTGGAGGTTACATTCCTCTGAAATAGATATTAAAGCAATATTACAAATAAAATCAGCAATGTGATCTGCAATGGCATGTGCATTTTTCTATGAAAGCAAGAGGAGATTATATTAAAGGAAATATTTTACTCTACACAAAGCATTTTCACATATTCCTAGTTACAAAACACACACCATAAAGTAATTGTATACTGAATACAGAAATCAATACATCTCTTACTAAAAAGGAGAGAGGGATGAAAAAATTAGCAGGGTAATGCAAGTGAACTCTCGCAAATGTGTGCATGGGGAGACTGCTACAAACTCAGACTCTGTTCACTAAAAAAACCAAAATCCAAGATTTTCTGCACAGCTGTGGAAGGCAAGGCTACAAGCTACTGTGGAAAAGCCTGAATCACTTGTCACTGCTGCGATGCAAAGACTTGAGGAAATCAGTGTTAGTCTAAGAGCTGAGAAGTCTGTATTTTTTAACTGGATGAAAACAACAGGAGCATTTTTCCTGTTTTGCTTTTTTTTTTTTTTTTTTTTTTTTTTTGCCAGGCAGCATCTCTGGCCCCATTTATTCTGTTGGCTTTAGACTATATTCTGCCTCTACTATCTAGCCACTACTCCACGTGGTTGTTCCCTGGCTGGATACTGCTCACAGTTCATCTGGAAAACTTGAGGCTTTATCTTGAACAATTCTCATTATCTCCTGATGCCTCTGGGTTTGGTTCTTAGCTTGTATCATCTACAGTGAGAACAAATTAAACTGTCTGTGCAACCTGCTGCAGACACACTCCCACACTGACAATGGAGAGCTTTAAACAGCTTTAACATGACAACAGCCTTAATAATAATAATGAATTTATCCTACCTACCGACCAGCCCAGTTGATCAGCTCCTCAGCACAAGGGTTGTACAGCCAAACACTTCAACCAAAGGCAAAACATCACTGGCCCAGTGGTTCTGCATTACACAAACCACATGTGCTAGCACTGATGCTGATGGTTTGGTTGCTTTTCTGCAGTTGGCTTTTACATAATGATCAGGATATTCTGGCACAGGCCACAAAGTCAGGCACAAGTGGCCAAGTTAGGTAGAGGGGGAAGAGGGTGACTTTACATCACAGGCAGCAGTAATACCACTCAAGTACTCTCCAACAGGGAAAGACCTTCAGCTGTTGAAGCTAATTACATAGTTACAGTGGAAACCAGAGTCTCATTTCCACCATGCTGACACAAAACCTGGAGAAATTCCAGTCAAGCTAATGGTGTTCTTGTGGATTTCAAACAGTGAAGCAGAACAGTAATAAATCCCTAAAAAGCTAACTGGTGACCATGTAATTTTAATACAATTTCTCTCATCAGCACAGCAGCAACAGCTATGCCTCTGCAAACACAGGAGAACCTTTTTCTAACCCACAATAAAAAGAATTCAAACAGATATTATGGAAAATCTCCTCAGATTGTCTGCAATTTTAAGAGCAAGGGCATTCTGGTATGATCTAATATTACTACACTCCTCTACTTTACAAAGAAAGACAAGACTACAGAATATTAACAAACTTACTGTGAAGCTTATCTTAAATCAAAACTATCCTGAACTTACCAAATGAGGCAGCAATTCAGAAAAGCACTTTAGCACAAGCTTAATAACATACTCATGCTCAAAAGTTTTGCAAGAACATAATTGTATGTCTGGATACTCAGTAATTTACAGTTTTGGCTTTTACAAATTGGTCTCCCAATTTGCCCCTGTGATTTAGCAACATTCTAGTACATGAGCCATTACCTTAATTTCTGCAAGGAAATATAGAAGTACAGCAAATGCATGGTAATTTATGTCAAAACTCTATTGTAATGCCACATCACAACAGGTACCTGCATAACTGCACCTGGCAAATTAAAGTGATACCGATACATTCGATAAATAAAAAATAAATTACAGACTATGGGAAAAATGTCACTGATCACACCAATGACCTAAACTTGTTTTCTAGTTACTGCCAAGGTCTGGAGTAATATTTAAATATAGTATTTCTGCAAGCATTCAGAGAATTACAAAATAAACTTCTAACAATCATTTGTAAACAAGTTTAAAATGCACTATTATATTTCAGTAGTTTATTTTGGAGAAAAAAAGCAGTGCAAAATAGGCCAACCAAAATTCAGAAGGCAGCCAGGAAAATAAAATTCTTATTTGATGTTCTAACTAGGAAACAGCATACAGACATTTCCATTGGATCCAACACTCAGATTCATGTAAACATACTTAGTTTGAAAGGTCTTGAGTTAGTAACCCAGTTCTAACATCATTGCTTCATCCCCACCACCCGATAAAGAAACAAAACCCAAAAAACCAAAAAAAGCCCAAGCCATTGTAACAAAGGGAGCAATAGGCAAGTCTACAAACACTCCACCAGCCTGTTACAAGAAAGTACCATACAAAAATATGCACTGGCAAGTTCCTTCCTGAGGGCATTTTTTGTTACACATGTAACATAAAAACACTTTTTATTTTAAACAAACAAAAACAAACCCCAAACTGTAGATGTAAATTTTATTTTAGTCATGGCTTTATGAAAGGTTTGGTCTACCACAAATACCTTTATAAACCCTTACCTATGTACATCTCACTCACTCACACCACAGCCATCCGAGACCTGCAAGCTGCAGACAACACGGGATCCAGCAGCCTCAAAGCATACAAGGGTTGTGAAGTGTGCCCAGCTCAGAACTTATCTGCAACACTTGAGGAAATTGGCTGTGCTTATGTGCACCCTGGGATTTGACTGATACCATACTCAGAAAGTTCTTCATAGAAATATTTTCAAGTTAGTAATCCCTCTAGAGGTGGAATCATCTTCTGTTGTGTAAATCATTCTGAAAAATTCAATCCTGGCTACAGGAAATTCCCAAGAATGGCATTTTGGAAGATGAGTCTTCAAAACTTTTCCCCCTCTAGGACTGGTACCATCAGGTAGGGTGGTGACATCTTTTACACAGTTTAATCCTCTCTCCACGATCTACCTGGGCTTTAAGTTCTAAACCCTTTCTTTCTGAGTAGCCATCTAACACATGATACTAACCAAACTGGTATTAAATGCTGCAGTGACAGATGCTTTATGAACACGTGCTATAGAAAAGACAGAAATTCCTATATTTACAAGCTAGGAGCTTAACTAAGGAAATTTTCTTAACACCACGCTTCTTAAATGTATTTTAGGGCTAATAAGGGGAAGAGAAGGCCACTTCTACCAAAATAGTGTTTCTGTTCTTAGCACTTGGATATTTCCAATATAGTGTTCAGAACTAGCAGAAGTTGCAGGAATTCTCAACAGCAGAAGATGCTGCCATACCAGAAGATGCTGCCATACCAGAAGATATCTCAAGAGATACAAATTGTCTGTGCTATAATTTACAAATAGTATACAGCACAGTTGTAAATTATCATATGGCCTCGCCTGGCAGCTTGCAACAAAGTAATGGGGTCTCCAAGCTAGAGCTGTCCTGTATTTCTACCTTATATGAAGGTACACAATTTGTTTATATTTTACAGAAAAAAATGCACAACAACATGAAGGCAGTGACTGTGTTACCTCTCAGGGTACACAGATCAGGTGTGCTGCTCCAAGGAAAAAGCACAGCTCTGCAGCCTTTTCCCAGAGCTGTCCCAGAGTCCTCACAAGTGCAATGGAGGGAGAATTAAACTCCCTGCAAAGAGACAAGCTGCTTCCATTAGCTCTTCTAAGATTTCAGCACTAGCAGACAATTGAAAGAAAGTATGTTATTTAATCTACTAAATGACTCAACCTAAATAGTGGCACCCTCTCTGGGTGAAACGTGTTGCTGTTTGCAAGTGTGGTTAGAAGCCAATCTGAGTGAAGCCATGAGGCCAGGGGGGAGAACTGCAAAGCTGGAACAGGGATGGTCACCTTGGTTCTGTGCCCTAAATAAGCAGGCTGCTCTCTCCTCCTCAAAGTGCAGTGGCTTCACAGCAAACTACCTGCCAACATCATGACATGTCAGCATTTCAAGAGATTTGGTTTAGTGATACTGAAGTTGTCCTAGCTTTCTTATGCAAAGGCCTACCTGGAAAAAAAGAGGAATGGGGAGCTTTGTAGGCAAAAATCTCTAGCACTGTTACATTCAGACACTGCATTTCAACATTATTATCTTCTTGATACCATGAGGTCAGATTTTAAAATGCTGGTCACCAGTGATTACAAAGAACAATAGAAATGAAAGAGCAACCCTCCCACAATGAAAGGACTAGTGTTAAAACACATGTGTGTAAACTCACTACAGATTTGCAATTGGAATCTGATAAAATGGATTTGGATCACTTTCTTGTTCTTCCCCTTTCAGTCCGTTTCATCAGCAAATTAGATTAAATCAAATGGAACGTTCTTTTATTTTGCTTTTTTGTGTTGTGTTTTATGTTGGGGTTTTTTCCCATATTTTTGTAAATTGTATTGTTAAAGCCTGATCTGATTCTGGGACCACAATTTGTATCCCTGGGGCTTTTTCTCAGTCCATGGCATTGGCAAGTTATTGAGAAGAAGCTTTTGTTGCCAACGTAGCGACGCAGTGCTGCTGGAAGCTGGGGGACACTGCTGAGTTGCAGCCTAGTCTCTGGTGTTGCAGTTTTACTGAGCTGCTGCTCTCGCTCTCCACAATCCAGGAGGAGTCTTTTCCCATGACGCTGAGACAGCCTGTGCTAGCACAGCATATCCGCTCGTCCATGATCCCACCACTCTGCTCTGCCAGGAGCTTGCTGTGGTTTAGCTGGGTCACCTCAGGTACCTGACCCTGCAGGACAGCAGCTATGTGGTTCAGCAGATCTGTGAAAAATTCAGAAACACCCTCATAACCTGAAAAGAAAAAAAAATGAAGGAGAGAAAAAAAGCAATTAAGCAATTTCCTTAGGCTCTTTGAAAGGCTTCTTTTAACAGTTTGTTTCTTGAAGTATCCTTGCACTCTACTGATCATAAAAAAGCTGATAAAAAATTACATTACATCATTGTAAGTCACAGCAGAAGAAGATTAGCATAAACAGGAACAGAGATTCTTGCAATAAAAGTATTTTCCCAATGAAAAAAACAATTGCCTTTCAGATTTGCTCCCAAGTATATATACGCATATATTATTTTAGGAATATTCTATCATTTTTTGCCATGTCCAGGTTTTTCCCTAAGTTACAAATTCTCTGGTATAATGTTGATATTTTCCATAACATTTCCAGGTTTTCTATGCCAAGTAGCTCTAGTGCAGAGCTTTGTTGAGGGTCTGGACCCTCTCCAGAATTTGCCCGGCAATACCCTCAGTTAGGGAAACCTCAGAGGACAGCAGGGCTGGCTTTACACTCTACAGAAAAAGCAGCTTCCCACTGAGCAAGAAGCGATGCTCATCTAACCTAACCTAACTTGACACTTAAAACATGTTTGCAGCTGTGTCTGAAGAAACACCCAAGGGATAGGAAACGTGTATCAATGATACAGTATTTGATAGAAACATCAGCCATTTATTTTGGTACTGAAACCACCTTTCTGCATGTTCCATTAAGTGATTCCAGACAATTTACAGTGCAGTTTAATAACAAGTTTCCTGGTTAGAACAGTTGCTTAAATACCAGTAGACGTGAAAGTTTTGGTGACACAAAGGGTGGCAGGTGTACAGAGCTTCTGGGTCTATTCTAAACACTGCTACAGGCACAGTTTTATCATTAAATTTCATTTTAAAATTGAACCAGACATGCAATATATGCATACAATGTCCTGAAATGGATCTTAACTGCTACTGCATTACCTAAAATTGTTGTCAGTTTGCCTTAGTGTTTAGAGGTAATATATGACATTCAGTGTTGTTTAACAGGATAGGCTGATTGTTTTGAAATGTCTATAAAAGTATTCTATAAGTTACCTGGTATTAATACAGGAATCTGAAGTAATAAGTAAGTTTAAAAGACCTATGTGAATAACACACATTCACACAGCAGCACATCAGCAGAACCAGAGACCACAAAGTAAATGCATACTTTAAAACACTTTAGTGATGTTATCACTGGGCAGAAGAGTTCCTCAGATCCATAACAAATTCAATTTTAATTTCCATTCTCCTGTAAAGGCCAACTGCCTTAGGCAATAAAAAACTCAACTTCCCAGAAAACATGAAGTAAGACTATAATTTCACCTATAATAAATGTGGAGCTTTTATGGTGTATTTATAAACCATATGTCAACCAATTAACTCTTACTTAGGCTGCTCCATTCCTTTGGATTTTATTGTGCTTGGTTCCAGTTCTCCTAGATACTTAACAGGTCACACAAAACATCAGCAATGTGAGACAACAGATCACAGTTCTCCATTCCCAGAGGCCCCTGAAGGGATTCACCAAACAAATCTCTCATTTCAAAACACCAAGTTTCCCAGCGCCGAACATGATAATCCACTGGTCAGCAGGGGTCAACTAGGACTCCTAGGGCTGGCCATGGGAGTCAGAACAGGATCTCCACCCCTTGGACAGAAGTGGTTGTTACGCTTTCTTGCTTATGTAAAAGCTATGGGATTAGCCTTCAAATCTACTCAGAGTGCTTCAAACACCCCAGGAATAAGCCATCTCCATAGTAACAGCTTTAATATTCAGCAAGGAGATCCATAGTACCCCAGAGTGTTCTTTGTCTGCTCATTGAAAACAAACTAGCCTCGTAGGAGGGCACCTGGCAAACTCACAAGTAAGTTGCTTTAAATATTTAATAGGAATAAGATGGCCAGTTATTCTGTCCTGAAATCAGCAGATGTTAGTGAAAAGAAGCTGTATGTAACAGGCAGGCTCTGTCTGTGCCAGCCCTCTGCACACTGGGTGGAAATACTCAAGAAATTCTGCTGGGTCACTCAGAAGAAACTTCACAAACTTGTAAAAAGGAAATAGAAGGAAGGCAGGAAGAGAATTAGCTGCAAACTCTTGGTTCACAGGACACCTGGGAAGGCTGTGAACTGTGGGTATTGCCTCACTTGGTTCACTTAGGGCTCCTGTAGGCTTCTCAAACTAGCCATTTGTGGGACACCACTGTGCTGCAATGATAACAAAATCAAGAAGTGCAGGTTAAATTCCACCTTCAGAAACTACTGGCAGTGAATTTGGGATTCATGTTACACAGGGAATCAGTGGGAGGATTTAACTTTTGCATGCCTAAAACATAACTTGCATGAATCGTGCTCCAGCAGGTGCAATCTGCCCACTTGAAAGAATTTTGGAAATGCCTGTCTACAAGACGTCTGAATTTTGCTATATTGAGAACAGTCTCAGAGTCCTCTGGCTGAGCATGGATAGGAAAGATGTCTACCCTGCAATGCATCTGAAAACAAGTGCCCACCTCTGCAACCTTTGGTGGAGGCAAGAAATGGCTATGACCATTTTTAAGCTGGCACACTTGGCTTTTCTGCATGTTCCCTTGGTCAGAGAGAAATGAACAGCCCACAACCTGCGTTTACAGCAATGTTCTTACACTCACAAAATACACGTTCAGATTTGAGGCTCCCATGCAGATTCCCCAGAGCCAGCAGTTCACCTGCATGGTGACAGCCTGCAGCTGCTGGGGCTGGGTGAGCTCAGCCACAACCAGAGGACAGAAGGTTATGTGGAACCTTTTCTCTCACTTAGGTCAGACAAACATAACTCCCACTACGTGACTGTGCCTACGGTTCAATATCTCAGCTGATAACCACTGCTAAATATAGTACCAGCAGTTTCCCACATAACAAAACACACAATAGGCCTTTCAGACATTTATCTTTAAAATCTTTTTAAAGAGTTGCTGTACTAATGGAGCAGATAACAGACAACATCCTCCTACAGGTACACCTGCTCTTAATTCTGTCATTAAACTCATCTCAGATGACATACATGGAGTGGCAGGTTCAAACAAAGTTCAAGCCCAGTAAACATGGAAGACAGAAGACAAGAAAGGCAGCAAACATCTGGATAAGGCTTTGGTCAGGCTTGGCCCCAAGACATGGCTTGAGTTCCATGAAAGAGGCTGTGCATACTCTTTAAAGGGCATCTCTTCCCCTCCCCTTTTCAGAGCAGTGGTGCAAAGATAGTACCCAGGAGGGCTGTCTCCAGTATGGCTGTACTGCAACCCTTGAAGGCTGTGATGATTTGAAGAAGAAGAGCAAGGGAGGGCACTTCCTGGGACTGCACTGAGCCAGGAACAGTGGGCTGATGCAGCCCACTGGCGACTCTTTTGAGGTGGACTGAGTTTGAACTTCTCACTAGCAAGGTGCTGGCTCCATCAATGAAGTCAGTCATTTTAACTCTTCAGCCTTTAATGGCTCTTGGAGGGAAATGCAGTTACCTCTGCTGAACATGCATTTGACCAACAGGGTATTCTGTGCTGAGATGTAACTTTGCTTCTGTTGCATACCCCATTGCTTCTTCTCTGACCTCAGCAGACCTTGAGAACAGAACTCATCTCAGTTCTGCTACCTTTTTACAAATTTGAAGCCAGTTTTTTCTCTCCCCTGTCTTCTTTTCTGTATGTCTGGGCCCTGCAGCTATCCTCTAGTTTTTCTCCAACTAATCTTCAGCCTATCCCACAGTGATAAAGTCAGTAGTTACCATCACACAATCCACATGTTCACCAACAAAAAAATAGCTTTGTGAGACACAATGCAGATCAGTGCATCAGTAAGAAACTCCCCTGTGCTCTCAAGCCTCCTGTAAGGACTAAAACACTATTAATTCAAAGTCCCCTCAAAGACAATTACTGTGCAGGCTGAAATGCAGGACTTGAGCTGAATATTGAAAACTACTGCCTTTGGGTAGAAATACAGCAAAGCATTTCTGCAAACTTAAGTGACAACAAGAAGACATTGGTCCTGTCTAAATATATGTTTGCCACATTGCTGTTCCCCAATGTGGACTTTTCAATATTAAATAATACTTGAAAATAACCACCCAAAACTGAAAACATGAAGCACCAAACCAAAATGCAGGATACAGGATTGCAGAAGAACGTCCTCTATCACTGACTTCAAGACCCACTGTCTGAAATATAATCCTATTAATAAAACTGATATGGTTCCATCTAGCAACTAATTTAGGTTGTTTCACTGCCCTGGGCAGAAGAGTGTTTTCACAGTCTGCAAATTGCATAACACCATGTGGTAGAACCATGCTGGGAAGTGACCTGAGAATAGCAGACCTGAGTTTTAAGAGGAAGCCAGTCACTGTGGAGAGAGACAGACAAGGCACTACAGGGCAGTAGGAATGAGGACCTGATCTGAAAAACTGAAGAGATTGGGAGCTCAGGACAAGACCTCTAGATATAAACACGCCATAGCCATATTGAAAATTTAGTTTTCAATGACAGGTTAAAGAAACTACACAACAGCCTGTGTAAGTCTCTGGAAACAAACACCCCCGTTCAGATAATGAAAGGAGATTCTTAGAGTGAAAAGCACTCTGCAAAACAGCATTAAATGGGATGATGTGTTCTTTTCCTGGGTTAGACTACTGAATTTAGCATGAGTGAGAGATCATTACTGCCTCACCCTTATTCACACTTACAACTCCTTTTAACAATTCTGATGATCAAGGAGCTTGTTTAGTTGTTTCCAAGATATATGTTGCATTAAAAAAAGTGGAAGACAAATGTACCCATATCTACATTTCTGCTCTAATCCATCCTTTTACTCCAGGACACACTTACGTGAACCTGCAAGGACAGTAACTCTCCACAGCAACTTCTGTGCACCTACAATATTATCATTTTCCGATTCCTGGTATTGCTTTTGTGCACAAATGTCTCTTTGTAAGGAATCAATTTGCATAGGAAGAAATTTTCAAGGGAAGTTAGTTGCTTCCACCCCCTCATTTTTTTTAATGGCTCAGAGTCTCAAAAAAAACCAAAACAAAACAAAACAAAACAAAAAAAAACCAAAACAAAAAACCCAAACAAACAAACAAACAAACAAAAAAAAACCCCAAAAAACAAAAGAAGAGTAATCTTTAAAAGCTTTCCTAAAATAGAATTTAGTATTCTTTTCATTTCAGAATGAGGGCTAGACCTAGAAAGGGTAGGTCCCAGCACACAGTCCCACACTGCAGTTCTTGAGTTTCCCTTTGCACAGGAGGGCACAAGAGCTATGTTACAATTGGCCACTAAAATTTGACCATATCTCCTAAGAGCTAATATTTCAGATGCAAATTCCATATCTAGATTAGGGTTCTTCCCTTCCCAGACTGACCTGTATTTGATCTCAGAACCATCTGGTTTCTGCTGTACCACCCCCAGCCTGGGAAGCAATGATATGAGACAACAGCAGTTAAAACTTGCTCCTCAAAGTAGGAGTGGAAAGGCCTTTCTTACCTGGGAATGCATTTATATCAATTACTGCATGCTGCCCAGTCTGGTTATTAATGATGATATCGATTCCAAAGAGGGAAACTCCCAGAGCTTGCCGCAGGGCTTTAGAGATTTCCCGGATGACGTCATCATTTGGCCGCTCAAATACTCCTTCGATTTTATCCAGCTAAAATGGAAAAAGACCCATTACTAATGGACTCTGGAACAGCCTTTTTAGTGGAAAGATTGATTTTCAGAAGTTTCCAGGTGCATTTCCACCAAATCTAATTGCAGAGAACCAGTGTCATGAAACCGAGAAAGATACCGAAGAGAAACTACTTTCGTAATTTAAAATCCTTCCTAAATTGGAAATTCATCTGCTCTAAAGCATCTAGTTCTTCCTCTTCACACTGGTGCAGCTATAGAAGCAAAGCAGTATAGGAATGAATGGAGCATCAGACTCATTATTTTAAGTACTAGATCTACACCTTAAAAAACATATACAGGTGGCATATTTAACCCTGTGCTGCAAAACCTCTGGCTATCATTATTTCAGTGTAGATCAAGGTCTCTCTTAAATGGTAACAGGATAGACTCCTGTTGTTAGTTTAATCTGAGTCATACAATACAACTCACCTGATATCTTAAGGGAAGAGCATACATTTATGTGGGTTCAAATTATTTTTTAAGTATTTATTAAAATGAGTGACTTAGGTTACTTATGAATGGAGGATGCAATTTTCTTTGCTTTTTAGACAGCATGTTACACAGCAGAAGTATGCTGTTATGCCTACAGAAGCAAGACTGGAATACATGTTTATATTAATGAGATGGCAGGTAAACCACATGACTCTTTAAGTCTGAAAGTAAATTTTTAGTAATGGCTTCTCCCTCAACATAACCACAGAAGGATTTATGACTAGCACAACTACAGTTTTAATATTTAGCATGCCTACCAGTGTTGCACGCAAAGTTCAAAATCAAATACAAAACTAGTCCCCAGCAGAGCTTGTGAAACAGAAAAGAATCCGAAGACTCAAGAGATTTAAAGGACCCAGTGCTGTAAAGTGACTTTCTCAGTAGCCAAGTGCCCGAGAACTTGTTAAGATTCATATATCCAAATCTTAGTAAAAGGACTGGTAATGCTAGCATGAAACTGTGCAGTGTGCTGGTACTGCTGGTCTTGAATGACATCCAGAAATGGTCCCATGGTCACAGCTTGGGCATGCTCACATGGCAGACAACTACTGGCCCTCTGTGGCCTTTGTGCCAACACAATTTCTATGCTTTAATTTTCACTGTTTGTCTTTCCTCACAGAACTGAGTCCTAGAAGAATGATTTATGCTTATCAATCTCTCTGGACAGTAAAAAGCCAGGTGTTTTGATTTAGAACCTCCTTCTTCCCTTTGCCTAGATTAGCTCTGGGTAGTTTGGGAAGCAGCACATCCCTGCTACAAGTTCTTCCTCACCGGAGCTCGGTAAGGAAAATCAGAGGGGGACACAGTCATGCTGGCTCGTGGTACCAAACAGACCTCAGCCTGCAACACAGAAGCAGACAGCTTGTGAAAGAGAGTCACTAGCTACTAACACTTCCATAAGAAAGGATTAGATAGGTTTCCAGCTGAACTACAGGGGGAAAAAACCAAGTGTACTTACTGCTGTTAAGACAGATGAGGACTCTGGTTTGGAAACATTGTGGCTGTTGAAAAATATTGATTCTCTGTCTGCAATTAAAAACAGGTTGTAAATAACTTTATACTGTAAAGAACAGTAGGTGGCAGTGCAGCCCCAGGAATCTCATCCTGGTCTCAACCATCCACCCCACCCACAGGGCTCTCCTGCCTGTTGGCACTTGGCTGCCTGCACAGGCAGGGACCTGCAGACAGATAACCCACGGTTCTTGGACCACACATAAATAGAACCACACACTGGGTAAACAGAAATCAGTTTTCCTTCCTTCACCAGAGCAAATTAACTAAGTTCAGTCAGATAATGAAGTTAATTTTTACTAATTTTCTATACTTAAAGTGACAGTTCCAAGGGGAAGGTGTGTGACAGAAGAGAGAAGCTGCAATCACTGTAGGTGATAGGCCAGAAGCACCCAGGGTACACTGAGAGCCCTGGGAACCTGGGCAGGGCACTGTGACCATGGTAGAAAGCAATACATTTTGTGGCCAGGACCTGTCCTTCTCTTGGAGGCACCACTGGAGTGCAGGAGACACTCTGAGGTGACAGAAGCCACTATCCTAACAGTTTATATGGGCACAGATTCTGGCCTACTTAATTTGATCAGGACATACACCAGACCTAAATGTAAATACAGGCACACACAGCTACAGACAAGATCTTCCACCAGCATCCTACTACACCTGTATTAACAAAATACATGTTGGTGTGTGAAATGCAGTAGTGAGCATACATGGAGATACTAGGATTAGCCAAAAACACTAAGAAAAGTGACAAAAACCTGGCATTTGTTAATTCATCTCCTTTAGTTTGATCCCATCCTCACCTCCTGGATTTGTTCAGTTGCTATCAGATCATGCTTGCTCCCATCTATGTGCTACTAATTTTCTTATGCTTTTGGTGGGCCATAGAATGGAGTTCTCTGGAAAGAGCTTTTTCCATAAAAGAATTCTAAGTAATCTTTAATGAAAACACTTTAAGTGTTGCTGTCTAATGACATACAGAAGAATCACTCTCCTCACTGACAAATCCATTCCTCCTTCTCCCCAGCAGAGCTGATATCTACAAACCAAAGGACATTTCCCACCAAGATTTTCAACACTGGGCCTCACATGAAGAGGGGGGCTCATTTAGGGGAGAGCACAAGTGATCTTTAATTTAAAACACACACATATTCAAGGTAAAAATAGGGAGAGGAAGTGCTGAAATGATGGAATCCAGGAAATTCTCTCCAAAGCACATTTATAAACAAATTCCGGAACAAATGACACATGAACTTGCTGTGAAAGGAGAGAACTTCTCTCCCTCTCCTCCTTTCCACATGACATAAAGCAGTGTCTAACAGGTAAGACTCAGGTAACCATTGCATAAATATTTACTATATGAATGCCATTCGTACATATTCCAGAGCAGGTAAGTTATCTCCCTTTCTATTGAAATAATACAGAAGAGGAAACATGGTGTGTCCAAACCAGCTGCCTTCACTTCAGCAGTTTTTTCACAGATACTTTCTTTGGAGATGTTTCCTGCTGAGGCTGCAAGAACAGTTATTTTCTTTTAAATCAGTACAACGTACCTGAGATGCCTGCAGAGAAGTTCTTTAAAGATGGCCTTTTCACCACAGTGTAAGATTCCCCAACCACGAAAACTTTATAGAGCACAGCATTGTGATTGATGAAGCTCTGAATGACACAAGGGGGACGAACAGCTTTGAGGCCTTCCTGGTTGAAGATGATCGCCATCTGGAAACACACACACATGGTTGTGCAAAAGGCTGCAATACTTTCATGCTTACCCACACCTGACAAGCAACAAGGGGAACATCTCCTTTTCTGCATCTTGCTCTATTTCATTGTGTTTCATTTAACTGACACACTGCTCTGCAAACACCACTTGCAGTAAAGCTTTCATTTTCAATCAACATTTTCTTCACAGCACTTTGCAATTTCATTTGCTGCCTTTAGTTGGGAAACTAATGCAAGTGCAGGTACAACAAAGAGACAAAACACCTGACCAACACAGACAACAAAGTTTGTATTGAATACAAGCCTGTATCATGAGAACAGGAGGAACAGCTCTGTGCACTAATGACAAGAATTCTTCCCCACAGTTCTATTTCCCTTATTTGCTTCAACCAAGTTGCAACAGACTAAGCACCAGGGCTTCACCCACACCAGAAGACATTTCTCAGACTCTAGTAGTTCTTACTGCTAACAAATGCTGGCTTATCAATTTCCCTGCTTGGTTTCACCCCATTACTTTAAACAGATAGTCCTCTTGAAGGCACTGGAATAAATATGCTGAAAAGGAAGGCATTTATTGGGCTTTATGAATGATCAAATAATTGCACACATGCACAATAACTCAGTAGTTTAACGTTTTCTATGTTCAAGTCAACATATGCATTCAGTACCTACTTGCAGCTGATATTCTTGCTGTCTCTATTACACAGCATAGAGTGAATTTGCGAGTGGTAACATAGTGCAAGAAATTTTTTTAACAGACAGAATCATCCATCAAAATGATTCACAGCAACAACATCACACCTCATTTGTCTCTTACTGATGGCAAGAAATATTGCTCTCTTCTTCCTCTTGTGTGGATTGTTGGCATTATAGTGTCTACAGCATCACACTGGCAAGAACTGTGCTGTTCCTATAGTGTTCTCTTCCACTACTAGTTAATTAATTCCCACAAATAAGCATAAGATGAACAAGTTCAGCCTATTTTAGAAGTGTGGAAAGCCAGAATTTATCTTCTCAGCCTAACACTGACCTAGGCTATTGGAAGCTATGTGAAGCCTCTGCTCTGCAAAGCTCTGTGCTGGCAGCCCCATGGACTAGCACACAGCCCATATAAGCCATGTAAATCCTGTGGTGTTGCGTTATGCCGGTTCACTGCGATGTCTCATGGTTTTTAACATGCATGAATAGAGCTCCAAGAATTTGCTTGCAGGGTGCACTTGCTCTTTGTCATCTAGGACAGACCTGCTGTGTCTGGCAGTAACATGGGTACAATACTTGATATCATAATTTCCAAATAGCATTTCTCATTATAAATGCAGAGCTCTTCTGAAGGCAAAACAAAACATTTGCACCAAGAATTTTTAATGACAATGTCCATAAGGAATTCAGTCTCACAAAACATAGTGATTCTCTGCCTTTTCCTTCTTGTCTGCTCAATGCTCAGAAAAAAATCTGGATACATTTCTTCAGGCTATGGGTCTCTCATGGCAGCTTTACCGAAGGTTAGTTATGTTCTGACCCACTGGCAGCCAGGAAGCACAACTTCCAGCCATCATCTCTGTTAAAGTTTAAAAAATGATGCTGGCAAACTGGGAGTCAAGTGCTGAGCTGCTGAGGCCACTGCTAGTGCAGAGGCCATGTAGAACTAGGGACACCACGGAAAGGGTGACACCACCTCAGCTTGCACATGTACTCACAAGAGAAAAGTGGAGTCTGACAGCCTCAACTGGTGAACTCACACACTAAACCCAAACTCACGCACCAAACTTAAACTCAAGCCTGCACCTTCAGCTGTCCCTGTTAGCCAGTACTTGAACTTTCTTAACAGCCATCTTATGAAGAAAAGCAGGTTTCTGGTCAGTGCTCTAATTTCAGTGTCAGCCCTGTACTGGAAATACATCCACAAAAAGCGAAGTGATTTACCAAAAGCCAGACAAGGAGTCGTTAATAAAACAGGTAATTTCTTGCTTCTAGACCTATGCTCCGTATTTTAGACAGATTGTGCTATAAGCAGGTATTTATCCTATGCTTCCTTTGTAATTATTGACCATAAGCAATTCCAAAACAGTTCCACTCTGATCATAAATATAGTTTTGGATTAGCCCTGAGAACTCAGCAACTCCAAAACGGACTACTGCTACTACTATGTAAAGTACTATGCAAGATTTCAGGCTTTTTCCAGGGGTCCTCCTAAGCTCTCGTCATTAGTTCCTGTGATAAACTGCAGACTATGGCTGTATTTTAGTCTATTTTTTGCTCTGGCAGGAGGCTTAGATGTGTCTGCACTGTATAAAAGAAGATCAAAGAAAGATTCATCAAGGGAATAAAGTCCAAGCCTAACATGACAAGTACTCAGAGGTTGATGTGTTTCAGTTTGCAGTTGCAGAGGAACTCTTGACAGAAAAATCAGCAGAAAAATTTGAGTATTAAATTCATTAACAATCTAGCACCCAAGTGTTCTCAGGAATGACAGCAAAAATTTATAGCAGCTGCTCCAGCAAACTAATAGGACTGTCTGTTGGCTTGTGAAATAAGCCAAGGTAAAGCCTGCCTAAAAAAATCTTACTGCCTTTTTTGCTGGTCAGTCAAGATTTCAGCCACAGCCATTCTGCTCATCTAGATTTACAATTTACTTGGAGACATTGCAGCAATGTCTCATAGTGCACATTTCAAGAGCAGCTGGGAAACCTGGACTGATGGCCACATTGTTAACAAAGGAAGCCAGGAGTATGGAGAGCCAGCAGCAAGGGCTGGATTCTCAAAACTGATCTGAAGTAAGCAGGAAGGCAGGAAGCGCAAATGGAAAAGAATTAAAACAGGACTCAACTCACTTAAATTTAGAGGAAGCTAATCTCATAGGTAATGCACTCATTCTGGGAATATACAACCATTTTAGCTGCAATTGCCTTACAGGAAGGCAGATAAGTTCTACCAGTCCTGCTCTCCCCACAGATCCCACTGTGTTATTACAACTGAACATTGCCTGGAAACCATCTCTATTTGTTACTCCCTTCCCCCTCAAGGAAAGGAGCCAGCTGCTCCATCTGAAGCACAAACCCACTTCTCAGCTGTACCACATACATATTAGAAAAGTAATTTTCTGGGACAGAAACTTTATTTAGTGACTTCTTACCAAAGGAGTGACTGCAGGAGATTTCTTGGACAAAGCTGACTGGAGACTACAAACTGCTAGAAGCAACAATATGATGGAAGGTAGAAACTGCTAAATACAGCTTGCACGATTCAAGTCATAATTAGCTTAATTTTATTTTTTTTAAAAAATAATGGTGCAATTAAACATGAGGGAGAGGTGGGGAAGAAAGGTTGTTTAGGCACAGCCCTCTTCCTACCAACTACAGGATTGGAAATCATTAGCCAAACCACCACAGGGGGAGTGGGGGACAGGACACAACTGGAAGCAGATGAATAATACTGCAAAAATCTTTAACTCACCTCATGCGAGTTGGTTCCATGGGCCACTCTAGTTTTACAAACTGGGTAAATAAAAAAGAAAAGACAATTCACCACTGAAACAGAACACACACCCTTTATAATCCTGTTCCCACCCACACATGCAAACACTGGAGTCCACCAGACCAAGGCATTGACTGTAGCAGACACCAGTGACAGTCTTTGCTTGAACAGTGTCCTCAATCACTGCAGAACTTGGCTTGCTCCAAGCTCTACTCTCTCAATTCCTCCCTGTAACTAAGGTGCAAGCACAGATCTTTGTTAGGACTGGACAGAGTTGTAAAGCATCAGCTAAGAAGTTAATACTAGTATTAGGATTGTCATCCTGTCTACTCAGAGAGCATTTTCACAACTATATAATTTTTTTTTCTGAGGCTAGAGCTACTTTACAAGTACCACAAAACACTGGTGTCCTTAAAACAAAGAAACTGGGACACAGTCAAAATCAACTTATTTTCTTACCTCCCTGTTTTCAGGGAAGAGCAGAAAATGTAACGGGCTGAACCAAACTAAGATATAATTTATTTTTCACAGGCAATCATAGAGGAGGACAGAAATAGGCAGAAAGCCTAGCAGTTTTTATTTCTCCTTCTCATTTATCTGCTCTGTATATCCTGATTCTCACCTCCATCCTGATTAAGAGGAGGAATAAAACCAGTGAGAGGAAATAAACAACATGCTCCTTCTACTATCAGGCCAGAGAAGAGCTGAAGACCCTAGGGCCCACACAATGACTAAGGCTGATGTTACTTATGTGTTAAGGAGAGGACATGAAAACTTGCAAGTAGTGAGGGGGTGGATAGGACAAGACTTCTTTGCAGGTTGTTGGAAGAATCAAATTACCAGGCAAGAGGACAGGGAGCTATGGAAGAGAGATAACCTGCACTAGAGTCCAAAATAACTTGGCAACTTGAAATTTTACAAAATGGTTTATGATGTCTCACAGACATGTGCTCTAGAGAGCTGGATCAATTTTAAGAAAAATAAAAACAGACACAGGAAAATAAAAAAACATTCCCAGAGTATCAAGGTGTATTAATTTTCAGAGCTATTTTGTAGTTTCATCATCATTTAGTGGATTTGATTCAGACCTCCTCAATATGTGCTGCTGACTACTGAGGACTAGTCAGTCTGCACTGAGGGCACATTGTGAAGAGGAGGGCAAGGCCATTCCATGGAATTTAAAGTACTGCTTCACAACCTATCTTCAGGAGACCTGCCTCATTTGGGACAGTGGTGGCAGGGAGGGCAAAACATGCTTTTTCCACACGACTTTACCTCTGAACCTTATAAAGGAGGGAAGCACCAAGGGAACAAACACCAACTAATGATCCTGCTCACTTTATACTGCAAGGAATCAAATAAAGGAACCCATTAAAGCAGAAGTCCTGCAATGAAACTTGCTACAAAGCACAAACAGTTCATAGCAGCTGTTTGAGCTGTGGGCCCTTGGAGTCTGTTATCTGTTAACCCTCTTTTTTTTTACCCTCTAAGATTATATTTGTACCATGGACCAGGGAAGGGGAGAGGTGGGTAAAAAAAGAGGACAATCAACAAGGCAGTGATTTTCTCAAGAAAAAAATGAATGCAGCTGGCAGGAGAAACATCTTGTACAAGTTCAGGGCAAAAGGCTAACTTTGTTAGAACTATTAGCATTTCCCAGGAAGGCATGTTTACTGTAGCAAGGTGTTGAAAGTAAGGAACATCAATAAAAGGAAAAGTAAAAGATGATAGGGAGGGGATTTGTTCTACATTCCAAGCAGACTGCATCAGAGAATTTGTTTCAGGAAAGTTTTAATATCCTTGACACTTTTGGAAGTGAAACCCACACTCCTACAATGTTGGCTATCTTTTGGGGGGTGCATGTGCAGCATTTAGAACCCACTAGAAGTACCAAAGAAAATCTAATGTACATACTGAATGGGAATGCCAATCCATTCTTCTCTATAAGCTTCAAGGTATCTTCTCCACAGGCACTTGTCAGCTCCATAAAAGGTGGTGAACAGATCCTCTCATCTGCAAGAAAATAAAAAGACTCAGATGAAGATGAGGGGTTTAGCTCCTCAGCTGCAACATTACCAGCTCTCTCCATACTAACTACTTCTTAATAGTCAACTTATATTAAAGCACCCAAAAGGACTGTAAGCCAGGCATGAATCTGGGTTTCTGGAAACATTTCAGAAGATGAAAAGCTCAATTTTCATACAATCTAAATGGCAATATAAAGCCAGTATTTTCATAGGCAGTAGAAATGATCACCTGCTTAGGAACACACTGCACAAGGCTTAGCCCATGAGGTAAAAGGCAACTAGGATCTTTTTATGCCTTTGAGCATAATTTTCTAAAGCATTTTAAAAAAACCCGAATGGTCTGCAAATGTGACTAGAATAGGCAATCTCACAAAGCCATATCCTCCTGTAGGGCTCCTCAGGTGTAAGATTCCAGTGTGTATTTACTTCAGACAAGGTGCCAGAACATACTGCTGTTCTCTGGGATGGCTCTGCCATGAAAGCAGTCGGTCTGGCAAAGCCATTCAGAGCATGTCAGAGATGTTTAGACATCATCATGTCAAGACTGCTCAGCAAGTTCTGGGTAAAGAGAAGAATCATGGGAACCATGGTAAAATTTAATGGAGGAGGTCTGCTCCAGAGTGTTTCTGCCAATGCTGTGCTTGTTCACATGGGGTTGTGGGAAGGCTGGAGTCAAAAACCAGCCCTCTTAATGACTCGGTAAGTTGACTTGCTCTTCCTGTTCACTGTAGGAGAACTGAGATTCCCCTGGGAATGCAGCAGGAAAGGCAGAAACTACTGTAGGACTTGCTCATAAATTGCTTAAGAGGGCTGGGTTGCAATCTGAAGTGTACAGAGAACCTTGGCTTCAGCCACAGCTCTGAGACAGGTCAGCAGGGCTGCAGGTTTTCAGACAAGCTGTGTGCACGTTGACAAAATTGACTAAGTCAAATCAAGGACATCACACAAGTATGAATGACTATTTAAATTACCTCCTCAGTGAGCACACCCTTTAAAAAGTACTACTTTAATGGAGTTTGAGCTGTGGTCAGGTTAACTTGGGAGCCACAAATGAGTTATAACTTGAGCTGCACAGTACTGAACACAATTCAGAACAGGTCTGTCAAGACTTGCTTTTTAGACTTATTTCAAGAGAAAAAGGATGACGCCTTCCTCCAAGAAGCAACTGGAGACAAACACAAATGGTGGGAGCAACTGCATCTGGCAAACTTAAGTCACAGGTTTGTATCAACCAGCAACTTGTCTTAAAAATAAGCAAAGCATGGAAGAATTGAAACAAGTGGAGGCCATGCTGTGCAGATGGTGCAGAAACTGAAAAGTACATGTGAACTAAAACCCCAGCAAAACTAAACATAACTCTGAGACAGACATGCATTCATAAATCCCTTTATAAACATTGTTTGGAATAATACTTTTCATTTCATTGTAAGTACATCTATAAAGAAAACTGAATCACTGAAAGTAACAGAGAAGCAAAACTCTCTATATTTTGGTACACATATCTCAATACATCCCCAAACTTTTGGAATATCTGAGAACTCTGTTCATTAGCAGTGTTGTCACTACAAGAAGTTTTCTGAGAAAAGGCTATTTTCATAGATTCTAAAAAGAGCAGAAAGACTGATGCTTTGAGGTCAACCTCTACAAAACTAAACAAAACATCCCAGATTTCAAAGCTTTCAATTTGCTGCTATGAAAACAGAAAGCAGCATCCAAAAGTGACAGGTACTGTAATATTTACAAGCCCTTGCCAGAGTGAAAGTTCCTTAGTTGGATGAATTTAGGGAATAAGATTTAGTTTACAGATACTTGGGAACAACTTTGGCTTGGCAGCTCTCCCACCCACATGCTGAAGGCTCACAAATAACTTTGCCTTCAGAGTGCAGATGCAGAGGAATGCATGGTTCCATCTCAGTTCCCTCTGTTTCTCTCTCATGCAAACAGGAAAGGGAGACAGGGAGGATCCAGTGTTCCTGCTGACTACATGACACTTGCATGGGGAGATGAAGGAAGGGGCAAACAGTAATTTCTTTGACTTTGTATTTAGAAAGGATCACCTGGATCAACAAAAAGTAGCAGAGAAGACTCTTAGCATCTCAAAGTGCTCCTGCTGAGTTTGCATAGCACTGGCATTTTCTCTATCAAGAAGGCAATTCTAGCCCACTGAGACCTCTAAAACAGACCATTAATTCACAGCCAGTCCTGAGGACAAATGAATCCTCACTCAACACAAGATTTCAGTAGAGCCTACAGCTAGAAAACTGCTGCTCTGAGTTTAACTGCACACACTGAAATCCTAAAGATAGCTGCAAGTTAAAATAAAAAGTCCTCCAGCAATCATCCTCTCCTCCTTCCCAGGGTGGCAAACACATGCTAAACTTTCTCTCATCATCCAGTTCCCGCTATCAGAATGACAGCAGTCTCTGCACACCTCACTCAATGGCTGAGAGTCAATTCAAAACTGATTTACATCAGCTTGGCACTACACCATGCAACCCACACAGAGCAAATGACCCCCAGTGGTACACTGAGCCTTCCCCCCTTCCTGCTGAGTAATCTGCTTTAGTGTGGACTTACTGAGCTGTGGTCAGGTGCTGGACTCTTGGCACTGTCACCACTTCTTTGCAAACCAGCAGCGACAAGACACCATGGGAAACCATTGCCAAAAAGAACAATAAATATTCACAAACAAGTAAACATAACAGTCGAGATATGAGAAGGGCATCCTGATTCTGGCTCCACTGCTGCCCCTTTGTACTGATGCTCCAGCCTAACCCTTCAGTCTAAAACCAAGCACTATTCTCATTTGCACCTGAGAGCCCAGTGTGAACAAAGCACTTTAATAAAAGCAGTCTGAGAACTACTATAGCATGAGGCCACAGCCATGCCACCCCTCCTGGCAGCTTCACTGGCCATACAGCCCTAGCAGAAGTGACTCTGTCAGGACACAGACATGATAAAACCCAGAACCTGTGCATGGAGCTGGTACTGTTGCTTTTTAACCATCAGTACTCAGCTCTGTGCTGCGCTGCTGAGTGGAAGAGTCTTCTAAAACATCAAGTTTGGAAAAACCTCTGCCTCATCTTCCACCCTTGGCTATGCACAAGTGACCTTAAATTCCAAGAGATTATTATGTATTCAGTTTCTGATCTTTTCACTTTGTATCTGAAACTAAAAATCTGGCACTCCCTCTCTCCCTTTGGGTGCATATGCGGCATCACAAAATAAGCAGATGACCACAATTGCTAGCCCTATCTTCCTTCATGCAGGCTGTGCTGGACTGAAGATATCAGCAGGAAAAGTCTGTCCATATGTCTACAGACTGCTGTGAATTAAGATTTTGTACACTGCTATAGTGCACATTTAGAGAATGATATTTCTTTATTTTCTAAGCACCTGGTTGTCTCTGAGAGTCCTGCCTTTGAAATAATGGGGACAACTCCAGGTGAACCTTGTCAGGTCCAGAAGTGCCAACTTAACAGCAACAAGGAAAGATTCTTCAGATTAGAGTGTTCAGCTTTCACTTCAGACAAATACCAAAAGTATCTGTAGCACTTTTGTTGTTAAAAACAACATATTATAATTAAATTTAAAAGTAAAAATTCTGTCACTCTGTTCCTCCTCCATCTTTGTCCTCATTTTTATTGCATGCCTTAGCACAAACTTTGTGGTATCTGTTTTTCATATTTGCCTTTAGCTATTCTCCCTTTTATTCAAGATTATTTGATCTCAGAGGGAGTTCTCTCTTTCTCTCTTCTGTTTCTTATGTTCTGTATTTTTTCTCACTCCCATCCCTATCTCTCATCTAGGCTGTTAATTTTTCAACCATTATTTCTGTTCTTTCAGTGCTTCCTACACTTTATCCCTCCTATCACCTCTGAATGGAGGTCATGGCTGGAGGGATCACGTTCATTGCAAGTGCAGGGGGAGTGTTTGCAGTGCCTGAGGACAGCAAGGAGCTGGCACTAACAGGTGACAGGCAGCAATCACAGTAGCAGGGCTGGCACAGCCTGCTGTGGGGTGAGCTGTGTCAGAGTGCAGTTCCATTCCCATGGAGCAACAACATCATTATGAGGGCTTGACTGATGAGGGCCAGTTTACAGGATGAGTAACACAGCTAACCAACAACAGAGAGGTGAAAGAGCACCCAAACCAGGGTGTCGGTGCCAGCAGGGGATTATTCCAGATGAAGTTCAACAACAGTGACAGCAGCAATGGGATGTGAAGATGGGGAAGATGCAGACTAAAAACTGGCTGGGGAAAAGTAATTTCTGGCAGTGAGAATTGGTGGAATTCTTTGTGCTCAGGACTTGCTTTAGTAAGAAATGCTGAGTAATGCTTCTCTACTCAGGGCACCTGGTGGCCTGCAGACAGCCTGCCAAACAGTCACAGGATACCCAAACCTCCAGGAGAAGGCACAAGAAGCCAAACACTCAAGATATACTCCCATTCAGTAGCTAGGCAAAATGGATAGAGGAAAAATAAGAGTAATACATGGCTGCTCCCAGCTGAACCAAGTTTTAAAAATAAATTGAAACCACTGGGACAGGGCTGTACAGGACAGTCCTGGGATGGTTTCTGATAAGGGTAAATACCGTATATAAAAGTCACCTTATAGAAGGTAATACCTTATAGCTTATATAAAAGTTTGAGGAGTACCAACACAGAGGGTAGCTGTGGATGACTGTGGGGAAAAAATAAACCATGAGAGAAGAAAAATCTATTTGGATTTCTTTGGTCCTTATGATTTTGGACAGGTAAGAAAACAAATAATAGATTACAGATTCAATGTCCTGCATTCATAGATAAACAAACTATATTTTTTTGTCTTCAGAAAAAGAGTTTAAAGAGAATTTATGGTCATCTGTGAGAATAGCTCAAAACCTGTGTCTAGAAAAGAAATACAATGAGAAAGCCATTGCCTATTAAATTTCAGATTTACTGTCTAAACATGTTTCCCTACCTCATAATTCACCTTCCTTCACC